CCCCCCCGCACCGCGCTGCCCAGCCCCGCGGCGAGCTCTCACCTGAAGACGTAGTCGTGCCGGTCGATCGCAGCCCCTGCCCGGGACCCGTTCAGGATGCCACCGTTGCCCACCACGGCGCAGCGGACGCAGGGGGAGACGCCCGCAGCAGCTCCGGGGCGGGCGTCGAACATGCACCCATTGGCCGACGTGTTGAGACGGGTCAGCGCGTCCCTCACAACTGGAACCACAAGCCAGGGGCGGAGGGTGAGCCGGGGGCGGCCGACGTGCCTGGCACATGGCAGGCTTCACCTCCAGGCACGGGGGCACAAGGGGAACTCCAGTGTGTGTGGCAGAGCAGGGTGCCCAGCTGCCAGTGCTAGCCAGGCTGGAGACCGAGACGGATTCTGCTCCCCACACAGCAGACCCAGCACCGCCTCTTAGGGGCAGGAGTCACCCCCAGGGCAGCGCCAGGCCCCAACCTTCCTGGGAACAAGCGGCCAGCGCTCGGCTCTCAGGGCGACAGACAGCTCCTCCCTCGGCCCCGTTCGCCCCTCACGCCCCACCATGAGCTCTCACCGGGCCAGCTGACCTCCTGCCAGCCGTGGGCCCCCCCGTAGCTCCGCAGGCGTCGATACTCAGCCAGCCGGGCATGCCGGGCCCACTGCAGCACCGGGATGGCCTCCAGGAAGACGTTGCTGAACTTGGTGCTTGCGATCCTCTTCCTGATGCCACCGGGGCACCTCTGGCAAAGCAAAACCCGAAGAGCGGGGGATGAGGAAGAGCCAGGCAGCCCCGCCAGGAGGGGGGCGGGAGGGCCTACCAGGGAAGGAGGCGGTGTTGCCCATTGGAGGGGGGGGAGCGGTCTTTGTGTGAGCCCAGCTCGAGGCCAGCGCTAGACACAACCAGGAGGCCCCTGGTCTGGGCAGCCACACAGGGGAGCTCAGGCTGGCCCCTTGGAGCTGGAGGATGAGAGGTCGCCGAGGGGGACGACGGGAGCCTGGCGGCAGGAGCCCAGCATTGTCCTCACTGGCACGGCACACCCCTCCTGTGCATGACCGCGCAGTGACGCTTCCCCCTCCAGGAACAAATCCACGGCCTGGAGCCCCCAGGCCTTCACCCCCCCAAGGGAGCAGGCGGTGCATACCGAGCTCCGATACGTCTCGTCCCGGCCATACAGGTCCCCCAAGAACGGCTGCAGCGTGGCGCTGGGGGCCCTACTGCCCAGCGGGGTCTCCGGTGCCTGCGCTGTCATGGCTCTGGCTCCGGGCTGGCGAGCGCCGAGAGGATCCCTTGGGGCCGGGGGCAGAGAAGAGAGCAGTTTCACGGTGCGTTCCCCCTCGGCCTGGCAAGGTGTCTGCCCGGCAGAGGGGGCGCGGGCCCTGCTGCTTCAGGCTCCATGGTTGGCCCCTGTAGCTAGGGACTGCGCCCCCCGTGGCTAGTTACAGGACGGCACCTGTGGAAGTGACGGCCAGTGGTGCCATATGAAGGCAGCTACGCGGGAAGAAACAGGGCATTAAAGGAGGCTCTGCCCCCTCCCTGCCCCCCTGTTCCTGCACATCAGCTCTGCCCCCAGGCATGGGAGTTTGGTCACCGCAAAGGTTAAAGCCCTGAGGTTGCACAACCAGAACCTTGCCCCCCCACCCCCACCCCCGGGGCATGTGGGAATGGGACCCGACCCCCTGCGGTGCTGGATTGGAGCGTGAAGACCCCGACTCACAGAGCAGGGGGAGCAGCTCCCCACCCTGGAGCCGCACACAGGAGGGAGGGGCAGCGCCAGCCGCCCGGCCTGCTCAGCCCTCCCCCAAGTAGACAGGCAAAGCTCCGTATCCTGTTCTTGATCCCGAGCCCAGTCGCTGCTTGTGAGGGGAGGATTAGAGATCAGCACAGACACCAGTGCTAAGCCAGGGCGGCAGGGCAGCAGCCCCGCTGAGGGGAGGGCCACAGGCAGGCCAGGGGAGTCGGGCTCGCATCCGGCTCTGTAGGGCAGACAGAAGCAGGAGCCCGTGACCCCCCCCCCCAACCCCGGCCAGGACCGTCGCTCCCCTGGGCGTAGGGAGCTGGGATTCTGAGTGTGAAGTGCTGGGCAGCCGTTCCTGCCTCACAGCAGCCCCCACCCCGCAAACCAGCAAACACTTCATCCCCAGCTGCCATTCAGGGCAGTGGGTGAATGCACAAAAAGGAGCCGGGGATTCGTTTGCTTCAAAAGCAAAAATCCCCTGGCCTGCAACGCTGCCTCACAGCCAGCGCCCCAGAGCCCGTCGCCCTGCTCTCTGGCCCAGGCGGCCCCAGGATGGGCCCCACACCCCACCGCGAAGCAGCCAGAGGGGTAGAGGGAAAGTCACAGGGGGAGGGGGGTCCCCGGGTTTGCTAATCATTATCTGCCTGCTGTTCGGAAAGTTCCAAGGGCACAATATTGGCACAAAGACGTGAGCGAGGGCGAGACGCCACCGCTGGCAGGGGCAGCTTGGCAGAGCCCCAAGGCAGGGAAATCCCCCCAGATCAGCAGAACGCGGCACCCTAGCCATGCGTTTCTGCTGCTCCCATCGCTGGTGTCTACATGCTGAGCTACAGGAGACTCACAGCAGGGACGGTGTCGCCTTCCTCGCAGCTAGAGCCCTCAGAGAGCAGAGAGGAGACCGGTTGGTCTTTACCTGTAGGAAAAGCTTGGGAAGCTCCCCCGGCTGTAGCGGGTCCTGGCTCGGTACAGAAGCACCAGGGTCGCAGCGCCCAGCAGAGCCCAGCGCAGGGCACAGCTTCGCAGGCGGATCATGGCTGGCGCAGCGGCACCGGCAGGTGTTGGAGCAGGGTCTGGGCGACGCGGCGGTTCTCGCGGCCCCGTGGAAGCTGTGGATCAGGTGCAGACACACAAACCCGGTTCACGGTCGGCCTCTTCGTGCACAGAGCCCCGAGCGGCCCCTCCGGATCCCCCCACCTCGTCCCTCTCCGCTCGAACTCTAACCCAGCTGCGTCTCTCCAGGAACCCAGGCAGCCTCGAGGCTGAAGCACGTCAGCTGTGCCAGCAGAGGGCCCTTCGGAAAGAGATCAGGCGGATGGGACGTGGAGTGGACGGCTCTGTCCGGACTGGAAAGGATCCCAGAAGAGGGCGGCACAGAAAGGGGGAAGGGGGAGAGACCGTTCCTAGGAATCTGCAAGGAGAACTCCATGCTATGCAAGATGTGGCTTCCCGTCCACAGACCCACCCAGCCTCGGTCCACCTCACTGTCTGCCTAGCCCACCTCCAACCCAGCCACCCCACTTCTGTTAGCTTCCGTCCCACATCCCCCCAGCCTCACCCACTTCCTAGCCTTCCTGTTAGCCTCTTGGTTTGCAAGACTCTGCAGGGCCGGGGACTGGCTCTCTGCCCCTGCCCGGGCCTCCTCCCTGCCTTCGCATCTTCCAGCGGCACTGCCTGATCACGGAGGGCTCTTTCCAGCCCTGGGACGTGTCTCTGAAGCACCTTTGGTCGCACTGGAAATTATGGGCGGGCGGATCGTACATGCACTGAGCTCGGTGCAGCCCACAACGGAAACCCCAGCTGCAGCATACACAGGATGTCTGATCAGCCAGCCGCAGCTGGGCCCTCCTGCACCATACCAGTAACACCTGCACACTGGAGATAAGGAGGAGGTCCTTTGCTGGGGACAGCCTGTGAGGGCCGGGCAGTCTTATGTACTCACTGGGTTTGCATTCCTCCAGACCTCCGGATTTCCCCAGGGCTGTTTGTTTAGACCGTTTTAAGTGCCCTTTATCAGATCTTCAAAACAGAGCAGAGAGGTCAGTCCAATGAGACCGGCCAGCGCGGAACTCGGTAGCTAGCTGAGCAGGACACATTCAGGGCCACACGCTGCAGGGGGCGGGGGGGTCGCTTCCTGGGTCAGCAGCACCCAGGCCTGAGCCAAGGGCCGGGCGCTGCACGATGCCCTCTCAGACCGACCCTGTGGGAATGCTGGCTGGGGCATGGCCCCCAGGGAGGTCACACTCCCAGCATCATCCTGAAGGTTGCTATGCTGCTGCCGTCTGTGGGGAGGGTGGTAAAGGAAAAGCAGAAAAGTCCCAACTCCGCCTCTCTCCCCTATGGTCAGTAACTGCCCCCAGACCTGGAGGAGCCGTCCTGGCCTCAGGGCGCCGGGCAGCACAGTTAACGCACAGCAAGGCAGCCTGGTTGCTCTCAGAGGGAAGACAGAGAACACAGCCCCAGCTCCCCGGCACAGGCGGCCCGGCTTCCCATGCTCACACGTGAGCCCAGGGCTGACTCACCGGCAGGTGGTTGTGTTCAAGGTCAGCAATTGGCTTGTGACCTTTAACAGGCCATGGGACAGATCCAAACAAGAACACATTGGGGAACCAGGAGAGCCGCGAGCCCCTCTTGGAGCAGAGAAAGGCCCCTCCCGCACCTTGCCATCCATCTCACATCCCCTTCCCCCGCCATGATCTGTCTGGGGTGTTGGGATGGTGCCAAATCGGTGTGGCCATACTGAATGAATGGTGGGAGCATATCTCGGGGGAACACTCTGCACCCCCATGTTCATCCTTATGATTGTGTGGGATCCAATGCAAAGTTTGTCATGGTGGGTGTCTTCAGAAGGCTCATGATGCACTGAGCATTGCTGTTATAGTAATGTTATAGGTTGTAATTTCATGTATATAGTTATGAGGCTGAAAATGTGCCCTTGTGGCTTAAAACAAGCCCAGGCAAAACTCTCCAGGAACAGAGGGGCAGTTCACACCTCATCAGGGCATGGATGGGACAAACCCAGCCCAACCTCACAGGAGGGGAGGGATAGCTCAGTGGTTTGAGCATTGGCCTGCTAAACCCAGGGTTGTGAATTCAATCCTTGAGGAGGCCACTTAGGGATCTGGGGCAAAATCAGTACTTGGTCCTGCTAGTGAAGGCAGGGGGCTGGACTCGATGACCTTTCAAGGTCCCTTCCAGCTCTATGAGATAGATAGGTAACAAAGGACACTGGCCTAGGCAGCAACAAAGGATCTGATGGACTCTGGAGTGAATCACCCCCCTTCCCTTGGTCAGTTTGGGACTGCAATGAGGTAATGCTTGCCTGACCCTGAGGGGGGGCCAAAGCCAAGAGGAAAGAAAGGACATGGTAAAAGGGATGTTTGCCATGCTCTCTCTCTTCCTCCTCCATCTACAGACCCCACCACGAAGCGCTGATCAAAGGGGAGAGCCTGGCTGAAGGCAACCAGCCAACCTGTGGTGAGAAGCTTGTAAGTGTTAAGTGTCGAAAGTGTTAAGATCAACTTAGAATGCGTTTTGCTTTTATTTCATTTGACCAAATCCGTCTTCTTGTGCTTTGACTTAAAATCTATCTTTTGTAGTTAATAAATGTGTTCGTTTGTTCTATCTGAAGCAGGGCGTTTGATTTGAAGTATGTCAGAGGCTGCCCTGGGGATAACAAGCCTGGTACATATCAATTTCTTTGTTAAATTGACAAACTCATATAAGCTTGCAGCATCCAGCGGGCATAACTGGACACTGCAAGATGGATTCCTAGGGTTGTGTCAGGGACTGGAGATATTGGCTAGTGTCATTCGGTTGCACAATCCCAGCAGCTTACATGCCAGAGGCTGTGCATGAACAGCCCAGGAGTGGGGGGTTCTCACAGCAGCGCAGGGTCAGGCTGGCTCCCAGAGTCACGGACTGGAGTGACTGAGCAGATCACCGGTCCAGATAACACCAGGGAAACGTCACAGCATAACTTGACATGACTTAAACATGGCTGAATGGCTGCAGTGTTAGCAGAGCTTGAAATGAGTCCAATCGAGAGGACAGAGAGGCTATAGGACGGAGGATAGCTCGGGATTTCTTAACCCCTGCTGAGTTAAGAAAGGCAGTTTCGCTGATGCATCAGGAGGAGGGAGAGTCAGTTACGGCTGATTGTGCTAGCCTGTTGTTAGCAGGTTCTTTAGCGGATATGGAGGAAGGGCAAGTAACAGATTTGTTATACGATGGTTTAAGGGAACCTATTAAAGTGTTAATAGGATCTCAAGAGAAGTTGGATCAGGCTAGATTGATTAAAATGACCCGAGAGGCAGAAAAGGCAATACGCAGAAGTGGCTCCTCCCAGAAGGCAGTCAGCGAGGTTTCTTACTGAAACCGAGCAGGCTACAGCGGTCCTAATCATGCCGGTATGGAACGTGGAATGGGACGACCCAACAAAGGACGCGGAGGGTCTGGTGGAGGATTAGTGCGAGTACAGACATGGGCTTTACTCCAGGAGAAAGGAGCAGATATGGTTCGTTTAGATGGACGACCTTTAGAGGTTCTGTTAAATGTTGTGAGTGATTTGGCAGGGAACAAGTCCCAGCCTCCACCATAGCCTGGGGCTAGGGCCGTTGAGATTGCGGGAACAGGAGCGGGAGATGTGGTAAGCCCTTACGGCTTGTTGTCCCAGGAATTGGCTCAGATGGACGTGGCAGCTTCCCGTCAGAGTAGCTCCACATCTCAGTAGGGTTGCCTCACCCTTAGCAATCCCTGCCCCCAAGATTGAATGTTAGTGGCTAAACTGCAGCCCCCCGTAACTGGTAAACCTTACGTGGAACTGGGGCAGGTGGGGATGGGAGGAAACATATAATGGTTGCTAGTATTAATTGATATTGGAGCGGAGGCAACTCTGATGAAATCGGTGCAGGAGAACGTGCAGAAAGGACAGACTATTCCTTTATTTGGATTTCAGGGCACAGGAGTGAAAGGAATTTTATTGAAAAACCTGCCATGGGTGATAGGACACAGTAAGTTTTGGACAGATACAGTGGGTCTGTAACAGCCTGACTGAACATGCCATCTCAGGTGCAGATGTGGTACACCAGGAGAAATGGATAATTGATCTGGCAGGAGGTTGGCTGTGGAAAGGGGAGACAAGGATTATGAGCGAGCAGGTGATTTCAGGAGGATAAAGGAAAGGAGCTTGCAAAGCCACTGCAGCTGTGGTGCTACCAGATCACGACTGGACACAAGAGTTCCCTATGGTGTGGGCTAAGAAGAAATCCGAATTGGGGGCATACAAGCAGCAGTGGAAATTGTAGGAACATTTGTAAAACCAGTTCCTCAATATTCCTCTCCTGCCGAAGCTATTCCGCATATAGAACTGCTACAGGATTGAAAGGAACAAGAAGTGGTGGTGGAGTGCCGAAGTCCATACAATTCTCCACTCTGGCCTGTGCGGAAAGCGGCCGGAAGGTGGTGCCTCACAATTGAGTATAGAAAAATCAATGCGGCTATCGGCCCGATGGCACCAATAGCAGCTAAGCTCCCAGCTATACTGGCGGGAATAGCTGCAGCTGCTAAATGGTTCTCTGTATTGGATAGTGCTGGTTCTTTGCCATTCCATTAACCCCCGAGAGTCAGCCTCGATTGGCTTGTACATTCCAGAACAAACAGCTCACATTTCAACGTGTCTCCGTGGGTTACCATGATGCTCCAGCTATAGCACATGCACATGTGACAAGGATGTGGCATCAACTCCCCGATTTGGATAAGCCGGGGGTTACTTCTGATGTGGATGACATACTGATAACAGCCGTTTCCCAGGAGGAGTGTAAACATCGAACTAAACTGGTCCTGGGAATAGCGGAGAAAACAGGCTTTAAATTACCATGGGACAAGGCGCATCTGGTACAAGACGTTGAATACTTAGGTACTATCTTGGGACTGTGGGAAAAGCATTCTTATTAATGATGGGAATCAAACAGAAATGGCATCTAGTCTACCACCCCCCGAGTGCAGGAAAAGTGGGAAGGAAGAAGAGAGCCTTG